AAAGCGTCGGCCAGCCCCTGGCCTCCCGGAAGCACACGCTCAGGCGGGTTGTTCCCACGCGAGAAGGCCGGGGCTGGCAGAGGAAGGAGAGCGGGCTGGTGGTGGCCGGCGGGGGCAGGACAGAGCCCCAGACAGGACGCCCCAGCTCCGCCAGAGGGAGCGCCGGAGGAGACGCGTGACCACATGCCAGCTAGGCCGCGGGCTGTGGTTAAAAGCAGGGCCACTGGGGGAGCTCAGACTGTGGAGACCACCCTCTCAACGTCAGCACCCTCTTTTTTTCTTTTTTTTCTTTTAATATATTTGATTGATTTTTTACAGAGAGGAGGAGAGAGGGATAGAGAGCTAGAAACGTAGATGAGAAACATCGACCAGCTGCCTCTTGCACACCCCCTACCGGGCATGTGCCCGCAACAAATGTACATGCCCTTGACCGGAATCGAACCCGGGACTTTTCAGTCCGCAGGCCAATGCTCTATCCACTGAGCCAAACCGGTTTTGGCCAGCACCCTCTTTTATCACCAAGTGGAAGCTCTGCAGGTCCTGCTTCCTGCTGCCCCCCCCCCCCATTCATTGGCATGAAACTGCTGCTTTGGGGGTGGCCTAGGGCGCAGCCACGCGTGTCATGCACACACACGGTCCTCACAACTGTAATCCTGTGTGCATGTGCATGTGCATGTGCGGTGGGGCCTGCAGGAGGAACAGGGCCACTGGCCTCCGGAGTATTGGAGATGCTAAAAATAGAGGCTAAAAATAGCCCGCCAGGCAAGCTGTCTCTAAGCAGATTCCGTGCGTCCTGGATAGGTAGGGGGTGGAGCACCGGGAAGACGCCAGCCCCTGACCTTCCCGCGCAGCCACCCTGGGGGTCAGCGTGGCACCCCACACACCATTGTGTTACTTTACCCCCACCCCCACCTCCAAAAAACAGTCAGAGACTGAGGTTCTGGGAGAAGGGGAGGTGAGTGATGGCGGAAGAGCCCAGCTGGGCTCTCACCTCTGGGCTCAGAGAGCATGGCCTTGGCCTCTCCATAGGGGCCAATCTGGGTGCTGGGCTCCAGGAGGGCGTGAGCGCCCCCTCCCCGGCTGTACAAGCGCGGGGAGCGCGCTCCGGGGAGACGGTCCCGGCGCCGCGGCTCTGGGAGCCCCCCCGCCCCCCGTGCCTCCGTCCGTCTGTCCGGGGGGGCCCCCCGCCCACACTCCGCCCCGGCCGCGGCCTCGGGGCAGTTTCCTGAGGCCCTGCCGCAGGCCTCCGCCCGCCCCGCAGGTCTCGGGGGCGGGGCGGGCGCTGACGTCGCGGCGCGGGCGTTGGGCCGCGCGCCCGGAGGTTGGGCAGGAGCGCGGGCGGGCGGCGCCGCGGCGGTTACCGGGCGGCGGACGGTCGGGGCGGCCGCCGGTGGGCGTCGGGCGGTGGGACCGCGCGGTGCCCCCCGCGCCCCGGCCCCGCTGCGGGCGGCGCCAGCATGCGCACCTCCTACACCGTGACGCTGCCCGAGGGCGCCCCCGCCGCCCTCCCCGCCCTCGCCAAGGAGCTGCGGCCGCGCTCCCCGCTCTCCCCGTCGCTGCTGCTCTCCGCCTTCGTGGGGCTGCTGCTCAACAAGGCCAAGGTAGGCTGCTCCGCCCGCCCGCGCCCCTGCGCCGGGCAGGGATGCCCGCCCCGGAGGAGCCGGCCCGCGGCCCTCCCTCCGCAGGCGCCGGCCCCGCGGGCACCTGTGGGCAGGTGGGGCCGGCGCAGGAAGCGTAACCGTGGCTGCTCTCCGCCTGCCAGGGCCCTGGCGGCGGCTCTGGTCTCCGGTTACGACTCAGGCCAAAGGGCGCCAGGAGGGCTGGTGGGAAAGCGCCCCCAGCCCGCCCCCGCACACACACGCACAGGCTGACCCCACGGGGCGGCTCCCTCCCGGAGGCTTGGCAAGGGGCCCGTGGGCCGTGGAGGGCAGAGGAGGTGCAGGCCACGGGCCCCTCTTCCCGGCTCTGCCCAGTGGCACTGGGTCCCTCAGGGAGGCAGGCACCGAGAGAAGCTGGGGGTAAAGGTCGGGCACTGCCCACCTTGGGGGGGAGAAGGGCCAGAGCTTGGCAGGTCTTACGTAACAGGCAGCCGCCCCTTTGGCCGTGGGTCCACCGCCCCTGCCAGGGCCACCCTGGGCTCAGGACGCCCGCCGAGCCCGGAGCTCAGGAAGGAAGCTGGAAAGCCCTTCCCTGGGGTCTTGCGGGTGGAGACAACCCTCAAGCTGCCTCCCCTACTTGGTCCCTATGCCCAGCTCTCACCTCCCACGCCCCTGCGCCATCGCTGGAGGGCGAACCAGGCCTGTGTCCTGGCCTGGAAGCGTGGCCCTGCTGTCAAACTAGGTTTGCCTGATGCACACTCTGCACGTGAGCTCCCGAGTGCCCGGCCCGCCCGAGTCCTCTCCTGGCAAGTCCGCCAGGCAGGGGCTCCCAGCCCTGCAGGTCCAGCTTCTCCCGCAGCTGCCGGGCGGGTTGTTTCTCGGAGGGAAGGTCACTCCTGGGACCTGTGTCTCTCTGCGGGCGGAGTGCTCCCCTCCCCGAGCCCCAGCTGTTGGTGGCTGAGGATGTCTGGCCGGGCGCACAGCAGGCGCCTCCTGCAGATGGACCCGGGCAGCCAGACCCGGGTTCAGACAGTCAGAGATGCTGTGTCTGCTTCCTTCGGCCCTCCCCCAACGCCGCTGTTCACCGCCTTCTACACAGAACCCTTAGAAATTAGCATGTGGTTGTGAATTCAGAAAACTTTATTTATTGTTTCATATTTATATATATATTTACTCATTTTAGAGAGAAAGAGAGGGAGAAAGAGATAGAAACATCAGTGATGAAAGAGAATTTTGGATCGACTGCCTCCCGCACGTCCCACACTGGGGATGGAGTCCGCAACCCGGACATGTGCCCTGACCAAAATCAAACCGTGACCTCCTGGCTCATGGGTCAGCACTCAACCACTGAGCCACACCAGCCAGGCTGAACTCAGCACCTCCCCACATGTCCCTCCCTCCCCCCAGAACGACAAGTCCTCACAGCGCCTTAACGGACTTCTCCCCGCACCAGGCATTAGCAGGGCTAGTTCCCCCAGAGCAGTCACTGGGCCTGGCTGGTGTGGCTCCGTGGACAGAGCGTCAGCCTGCAAAGTGAAGGTCCCGGGTTCGATTCCGGTCAGGAAATAGGCCTGGGTCCGGGCTCGATCCCCAGAGAGGAGGCAGCCCATCAATGATCACATCACTGATGTCTCTCTCTCCCTCTCCCTTCTGCTCTGAAACCAATAAAAACTAAAAAAGGGAGTCACTGGGCGACGCCAGGCCCTTCCTGACCTTCCCTCCGCCGGCGGGAGTGGGCGTGCCCCGGCCGTGCCTCGAGAGGAAGCCTCCCGGTCCTCTGCCGCCGTCCCTGGCCCAGGGGCCGCTTCTCAGCGGAGGCCTGGGGCCTGGAGGGTCGCCAGGGGTAGGCACTGCTTGGTGGCCTGTGTGGGCAGGCGTGGGCTGAGGCGCAGGGGGAGAAGGAACAGCTGTGCCCACGGCCGTCGGTGCTGCTCCGGACGCGCCGGCGGGGGCAGCGGCCTGTGGGCCCAGGCCTCCCCAGGACGTCCCAGCGGGGCGCTCCGTGGTGGGCCTCTTCGGAACCTGGGGTTCAGACCGCCAGATGCTGTCGGGCCGGGGACGCTCGTCCTCACGAATGCTTGCCCTTGTGCCGCCTCCCCTCCGGCCTGTCCTTCCCCGCCCCCTGGTGGCGAGGGTGCTGCCTGTGGCCAGCGGGTCCCTCCCGCTGGGGGCGCTGTCAGCACAGGGCACCGCTATTGTGTTTGTGCCTTCTTTTTAGTTCTCACCAAGGACATTCTTGAGAGGGAAAGGGGGGGGGGGAGGGCAGTTGTCACCGCCCTGAGGACTGAGCCACGCCTGCTAAGTGCCCTGACTGGGAAGCGAGCCCACGGCTCTGGCGTCCGGGGGTGCGTAGTTCCCGCTGAGTTATTCTGGCTCCTGTGCCATCAGGGTGAGCTGGTTGAGCACTCGGGGGGTGTGGAGGGGGCGCGCAGGCTCATCTGCAGGCGGCTTCTCTAACCTTTGGAGCATGAAGGCTTTCTGACTCCTTGGAGGCAGGGCCAGAACTAGCCATGGGCCTGGACACACCTTGCGCAGAGCCCTCCCCGCACCTGTTCTCTCTGACCTCCCCACCTCCCCAAGGGCAAGGGCAAGAGCGACACCTGCAGGCAGCTGCTTGCCTCCGTGGCACCCTGGGGCTGGCGGGCCGGAACCCAGGCCGGCAGGGAGGTGGTCCCACGCTGGCCCGGCCCAGCCCCCCCGGAAGACTCTGCCGGCCCCTGGCCGGTCACTGTAGCAGGCCGGCTTGATATCGCCCCCTCCCCCAGACCTACGTTCAGTTCCGATGTTTCTCATTGAGCTTCTCCTTGCGGTGCCTACTGACAGCTGCTTCCTGCGCCTGGGACAGGTCTCTGAGCCAGTGTCTGGATTGGGGACCTGAAGTTTCTTATAACCAGGACTCAAATATGTCCCCAAATATATGAATTCTTACTCTCCGGTTCAACCTCCAGCCTCCAGTATGGCAGAGAATGGAGAGTAACATAAGCCCTGGCTGGTGTGGCTCAGTGGATAGAGCGTCGGCCTGTGGATAGAAGGGTCCCAGGTGTGATTCAGGTCAAGGGCACATGCCCGGATTGCAGGCTCCATCCCCAGTGGGGGGCATACAGGAGGCAGCTGGTCAATGATTCTCTCTCATCATCTATGTTCCTCTTTCTTTGTCTCCCTCTCTGAATTCAATAAAATGCTTTTTCTTTAAAAAATAAATAAATAAATAAATAAATAAATAAATAAATAAATAAATAGAAGTCCCTTTAAGATGGGGGCAGGTAAAAGAAAGCAAAGCCTAGGCTGTCGCTGGGCCCTGAAAAGGCCGGCGTTCCCAAGCCCCTTGCCAGGAGGTGATAACGCGGAGAGGCAGGCCGTGCTCCGCGGCCTCGCCTCACGCCTGCCGTTCGTTGCTTGCAGAACTCTAAGAGCGCCCAGGGTCTGGTCGGCCTGCGCAACCTTGGGAACACGGTGAGTTCTCAGCCCGCGTCTTCTCCGGCCACCCTGCTCTCCCGGCGGGACCCCGCCCAGGGTCTCCCCCACCGCCCACCCCTTCCACACACCCCTCTGGGCAGTCACCGCCTGGGCCAGCGGCGGGCATCTGCCTCACCCGCGCCTTTCACACCAGGGAGGAGCTGGAGGCGGAGGGCGGGCGGGCGGGCGGGCGGGGCCACGTCGGAGCGTTTCCCTTCCCTTCCCTCCCGCAGTGCTTCATGAACGCCATCCTGCAGTGCCTGAGCAGCACGCGCGAGCTGCGGGACTACTGCCTGCAGCGGCTCTACCTGCGGGACCTGAGCCACAGCAGCCGCGCCAACACGGCCCTCATGGAAGGTGGGCCGTCCGCACAGCCCCTTCCCCACACCTTCCCGCTCCGCTGTGTTCTTTCCTTTTTAAAAAATATATATTTGTGTTGGTTTCAGAGAGGAAGGGAGAGGGAGAGAAAGAGAAACAGCAGTGGTGAGAGAGAATCATGGTTTGGCTGCCTCCTGCACACCCCACTGGGGATCCAGCCCACACCCGGGCCTGTGCCCTTGGTCGGAACAGAGCCGGGACCCTCCCACCTGCAGGCCGGGAGCCTGCTCTCGGAGCTGCCCACAGGAAACGCTCCCCGCCCCCCTTCCCGCAGAGTTCGCCAAGCTCATCCAGGCCATGTGGACTTCGCCTCCCGGTGAGGTGGTGAGTCCCTCGGAGTTCAAGACCCAGATCCAGAGATACGCCCCACGCTTCGTGGGCTATAAGTAAGGGCTCGCCAGCCCCTCCCGGAGGGCGGGCCGCGGCTGGGCCAGGGCCGCTGCTCACTCTCCGTTCTGGGCTCAGTCAGCAGGATGCTCAGGAGTTCCTCCGCTTCCTTCTGGATGGGCTGCACAATGAGGTAAACCGAGTCACAGTGAGGCCTAAGTCCACCCCTGAGAACCTCGATCACCTTCCGTAAGTAAGAGGAGGAACGTGGGGAGCAAAGCTGGATGGACTTGAGGTGTTTGCCTACGTCCCAGGGCAGTGGCCTGAGAAGAAGCTTGAATGTTAAGGATAAGATTGATAGATGCTGCAGCTACCACGGTTTGACCCCTGACCCCACTGCCTTCCCCTCTCTGGTCCCCAGTGATGACGAGAAAGGGCGGCAGATGTGGCGGAAATACCTGGAGCGGGAAGACAGCCGGATTGGGGGTGAGTGGGGGCTGAGGAGCACGCGGGCCCCAGGACCCTCCCCGCCCGCCCGCCCGCCCTGAGCTGCTCGCATGTCCCCAGATCTCTTTGTGGGGCAGCTGAAGAGCGCCCTGACCTGCACGGACTGCGGCCACTGCTCCACGGTCTTCGACCCCTTCTGGGACCTGTCGCTGCCCATCGCGAAGGTAGGCGCCGCACTCGGGGCTCCCGGCCCTCTGGTGCCGCTGACCTCTGACCTGTGCCTGCCCCGCCAGCGGGGCCATCCCGAGGTGACCCTACTGGACTGCATGCGGCTCTTCACCAAAGAGGATGTGCTCGACGGCGACGAGAAGCCTGTGAGTGGCCCCCGGGAGGCTCGGCCGGCGGCGCCCGCGGGCGGAGACCAACGGCCGGGCTCACCGCCTTCTTCCGCAGACGTGCTGCCGCTGCCGCGCCCGCAGACGGTGCCTGAAGAAGTTCTCCATCCAGCGGTTCCCCAAGGTGCTGGTGCTCCGTATCCTTAGGCCGCCGGCCGCAGGGCAGAGGGTCTGTGTTGGCTCCGCGGTCCCGGGCGCCAACACAGACCCTCCGCGCTGCCCGTCTCTGACTCTGCTTGCGCCCTGTCTGTCCTTGACGCGCTTCCTGCCAGATCTGAAACGGTTCTCTGAGTCCAGGGTGCGGACCAGCAAGCTCACAACGTTTGTGAACTTCCCGCTGAGAGACCTGGACTTGAGAGAATTTGCTTCAGAAAACACCAGTGAGTGTTTTTTAATTAAATATTTTTTAAATTGATTTCAGCGAGGAAGGAAGAGGGAGAGAGACACACACATTAAAGGTGAGAGAGAATCATGGATCAGCTGCCTCTGCACAGCCCTGCGTGAGCAAGCCTGCGACCTGGGCCTGTGCCCTGGCCCGGAACCCAGCAGTGACCTCCCGGTGGTACTTGTCACGGGGGGGGTGGGGGGGGGGGGTACAGGTAGACGCAGATGGGAAGTCAGGAGGGGAGCTGCTGGAGAGGGAGTTTGAAACTGGGAATCAAGGCAGGGGGGTGGGAATGCCGGGGGCTTGCAGACTGTGCTTCTTCCCCAGACCACGCTGTTTACAACCTGTACGCTGTGTCCAATCACTCCGGAACCACCATGGGCGGTCACTACACTGCGTACTGCCGGAGCCCGGCCACCGGCGAGTGGCACACGTTCAACGACTCCAGGTGAGCCAGGCCTGGGCCCAGACAGCCCCGCTGCCGGACCCTGCCCCCTGCCCGCTGCTTGGCTTCCACCTTGACTGACGGGAAAGTTAGAGCCAGAGCCCTAGCTGGTGTTGCTCAGTGGATGGAGCATCAGCCCTTGGACTGAAGGGTCCTGGGCTCGATCCCCAGTGTGGGGCGTGCAGGGGCGGCAGATTGATGATTCTCTCTCACCGTTGATGTTTCCCTCTCTCCCTCTCCCTTCCTTTCTGAGAACAGTGAAAATATCTTTTTTAAATTAAACAAAAAACAAACTGCGAGCTAGGAAGCCAAGGGGCATGTCTGCTGCCCGTTTGAAGCCTAGCAGACGGCAGGTGAGGGTGGCGCCGGGTGGCCCAGAGCGCGGGCCGCCCGCAGCCCCGGCGCTGACCCCCTCTCTCCACAGCGTCACGCCCATGTCCTCCGGCCAAGTGCGCTCCAGCGACGCCTACCTGCTCTTCTACGAGCTGGCCAGCCCGCCCTCACGCATGTAGCGCACAGCCACCCCGCGTGTGGCGGCCACGCCCTGCGTGTTTTTATAAAACAAGCAAACCTGACAAATAAGAGGAAAATAAAGGGAATAAAGCTGCGGAGCAGGCGTGGCTGCGCCCGGGGCGGGCTGGCGCCCGCGCAGCGAAGACCAGCGGAGAGGAGCCAGGCGAGGCTCGGCTCGCATCTGCATCCCTCGCTCCGGCTCCTCCCGAGCGGAACCACAGCGGCGGCCCGGACCCTCCCCGCCAGGAGCAGGAGGCCCGGGGGCCGCGCCTGCTGAGGCCTGGGACCCGGCACTCCGGGCGGGAAGAGCCGCTCCGGCCGGAGGCCTCGGCCCCCTCTGCCCGGCAGAGATGCCGGTGGTTCGCTGTCTCTTCAGACACGTTTTCGGGCTCCTCGGTCCATCCGGGCCCGGCACCGCCCCCGCGGCCTGGGAGCTAAAGAGTTTTGGTTTTTAGGGTTTTGTTGTTTTCTTTCTTTTTTTAATGTTTTGGATGGAATCTAATTGCCTCTAAAGAATTGTGCCTTATAGCAGTGGGGACCAGGGGGGTGACTGTCCCTCCCTGAAACGCCCCACAGCCACTTCCCTTGGCCCCACTCCACGTCCCACTGGCGGGCCGGCCAGGCCCCCAGCCCGCTGGCTGGCATCGGTGAGGAGCCGGGAGGGGAGGGGCTCGCTCTTGCGACGACGTAGTGAATCAGGTCCCCTGCCCGCTCCCTCCCACCCCTGGTCACTCCGGCTGTTTGAAGGTCAGCACAGTCCCTGTCCCTGGAGCCGCCTCTCACCTTTAATTTATTCCCTTAGCCTGCCTTTCTCCCTGACCTCCCCCCGCCCCCGCCTTCTCAGAGCCTCCTCACCCAGTTCTCAGGGATGCCGCCCTCCCCGCACTGCCCGGCCTGCCCGGGGTGGTGCTTTGCCTCCGCAGGAGGCAGGGTTTGTCCTGAGCCGTGGGCAGACTCTGTGCTGTCCCGGGAGGGTGCGTGCCGGCAGGGAGCTCTGCACCACTCAGGGCCCGGCTGGTGTGGTGGAGCCGGCAGATCCCCGTGCTCCCAGGAGGAGGCATCGGGGGGAAAGACACCCACTTGCACTTCGCTGGCCTGACACCTTCTGTAGGGACACCTGTGTCCCGAGCCCCGGGCGCGGACGTGTTTACTGTGTAAGCGGGGGCGAGCGCACACGGGCGTGTCCAGAATAAAACCCAGCTTGGAGGACTCCATTGGCCTGTGACGCAGTCGTGCTTGGGGGGCTTGGTCTCGGGGACACTCTGGCGCCGGAGCGTGGAGTCCTGGAGGGGCTGCCGCCTCTCCCTGTACGCTTTTCTCCAGAAGCTGACACTCACGACACTGAATGCCATGCTGGTTCTCACATTCTTCATTCTTCTGAGCAAATGTGTTGGCAAGGTGTCAGTCGCCTTTCTGAACTCCGCTCAGTCTCCAGAGGACAGGACCGCCACAGCCTCCGCTCCTGCACCTGAGGGCGGGCATACCTGACGGGCATTTCTCTCTTTTTAAATATGTGTTTTTATTTATTTTTTACAGAGAGAGGAACATCAACGAGAGAGAAACATCACAGATCGGCTGCCTCCTGCACACCCCACACTGGGGACCTCACCCACAACCTGGGCCTGGGCCCTGACTGGGATGCAAACCAAAGACCTGGTTCCTAGGTCGATGCTCGGCCCCTGAGCCACGCCCGGGCAGGGGACTGCTGCAACATGGCGGTGGGCACCAGTTCTCGGCACACAGGACGTGCCCAGATGCCAGCGGAGGCCGAGGGCAGAGTGGCTCCGGGTGTGGAGTGGCGCCTGGCGGGAAAGGGCTTGTTCTCCCGTGCCCTTCTCAGCCATCATTGGGGTCGGCACGTGTCTCCTTTGGTCAATCTTTTCGTAGTTCTTTCGGATGTTCCCTCTCTGCCACTGATCTCAGAACGAGAAGCTGAAGTCCCTGCCTGCTCAGCCCCAATGTTTTCTCAGGATTTCCCCCTCCACCATCCTCTCTCCGCAGAGAAAAACCAGGCTCGCCGGCCAGGGCAGCTCAGGAGCCGAGCATCGGCCTGTGACCTGGGAGGTCACAGTTGGATTCCTTATCAGGGCACAGGCCCAGATTGCGGGCTCGATTCCCAGTGGGGGGCGTGCAGGAGGCAGCCAGTCAATGATTCTCATCAGTGATGTTTTTCTCTCCCTCTCCTTCCTCCATAAAATCAATAAAAAATATATATTTTTAAAATTATTTTATTGATTTTTCAGAGAGGAAGGGAGAGGGATAGATAGAAACATCAATGAGAGAGAATCATCACCAGCTGCCTCTTGCACACCCCCTACTGGGGATGTGCCCTCAACCAATGTACATGCCCTTGACCGGAATCCAACCCGGGGCCCTTCAGTCCGCAGACTGATCTCTGTCCACTGAGCCAAACCGGTTCAAATATATATATATATATATATTTTTTTTTTTTTAAGTAAAAGAAAAGTCACGGCCTGCCATTCCATCCTTGCTGAGACAGCGGCACCTGCTCTCGGACTTACCGAGCAGGCAGGAGGCGGAGAGGGCATTTGGGTGTTTCCAGGAGTGAACAGGGGATTGGAAACACCCACTGCATTTCTCCCTGCCCTGCCCTGGAGCATCCGCCCGAATAAGGTTCTGAACACTGATGACTGACCCAAGCCCTGGGAATGGGGCGGCCCACAGGACGAGGGGGAGTTAGAGCAAGATGAACAGGAGAGCCCCGTCGGTGTCAGCTGCCGTGCCTCCCATTTTACACAGACTAGAGGCCGATGCGTGAAAATCCATGCACTGAAGGGGGTCCCTCCACAGCCTGCCCCCTCGCACACACTGGGAGCCCTCAAGGGCAGGAGACGACGCCCCCATCACACCTCTGCTGCTGCCACTGCCGGCAGCACAAGTCTTGGCCGGCCCTGGTTACCTGAGCCTCGGGGTCCCTGAGCAGCCGGGCAGCCATCAGCAGAGGCTTGCCTGTGCCTCGAGCTGACCCTGGGTGGTGGGAAGCTGAGGGGACTAAGTGACTCTGGAGGCAGGCGCCCCAGCAGGGCTGAGGGGACTGGGCACCACCATCTTGTGGCTGTGGGCACCACTGCCTTTGAAGGTGGGGGCAGTTAATTAGCATATTCCCTCCTTATTGGCTGTGAGCACCACCATTTTTGCAGTGGTGTGAGGGTCAATTAGCATATTCCCTCTTTATTAGATAGGATACTAGAGGCTTGGTGCACGACATTCATGCACTGGGCCGGGGGGTGGGGGGTCCCTCAGCCCAGCCTGCGCCCTCTCGCAGTCCAGAACCCCTAGGGGAATGGGGGATGTCTGCCTTTGGGCCTAATCCAGCAGGCAGGCATCCCCCCAGGGTCCCTAGCACTGCCATGGAGACAGGGGCTCCTGCCACCACCGCTGTGTTTGCCAGCCGTGAGCACTGACCACCAGGGGGCAGCTCCTGTGTTGAGCATATGCCCCCCTGGTGGTCGGTGCATGTCATAGCAACTAGTCATTTCACCAGTCTGTCAATTTGTATATTAAGGTTTTATTATATAAGATATTTTTATTGATTTTACAGAAGGAGAGAGAGAGACATCAATGATGAGAGAGAATCACTGATCGGCTGTCTCCTGCTCAAGCTACACTGGTGGTGAAGCTCACAACCCAGGCCTGTGTCCTGACTAGAAGGGAACTATGACCTCCTGGTTCAAAGGTCAGCACTCCCCACCGAGCCAGGCCAGCCAATTACACCTCCCTTTGAACTGTCGTCCCTGAGAACGCCTGCCTCTCCAGAGGAGAGCGGCGGGCTAGGGCCCTGGTCCCTGGCTCTTCCTTCTAGACTCAACCTGAGGTGCTTTCTCGTCCCCATGGCAACAGGTCCTGCTGCTACCAGGTGGCAAACAAATCTGCCCCGTTTCTTTATCCGTCGGCTTTGCTTCCTAGCAACTGGGATTTCTCCCCATTCTTGGCATGCCTTCCAGCAGGCCTGGGGGGCAGGTCCCCTGCATCTGCTCCGTGGGACCTTCCCCGGGCCGTCTGACTTAAGGAGATCAGACTAGTGAACCTTAACGGTCTCCGCTCACGTGTCCTCGTTGCAGACACTTTTCTCCAAATACGTGCCCTGAGTTCTAAGGAAACTTACATGGCTCTGGTTCCAGTTCATGAAGTTACTATAGAAATACAAGTGCGCAACCCTGGCCGGTGTGGCTCAGTGGATAGAGCGTTGGCCAGTGGACTTAAGGGTCCCGGGTTCAATTCTGATCAAGGACACACACCCGAATGTGGGCGCAATTCCCAATGTGGGGCATGCAGGAGGCAGCCAATCAATGGTTCTCATCACCATTGATGTTTCTATCTCTCCCTCTCTCTTTCTCTCTGAAATCATTAAAAAGATAAAAAGCTGAAACCAGCCGAAGCCAGTTTGGCTCAGTGGTAGAGCGTCGGTCTGCGGACCGAAGGGTCCCAGGTTTGATTCCGGTCAAGGGCATGTACATTGGTTGCGGACACATCCCCTGTAGGGGATGTGCAAGAGGCAGCTGGTGGATGTTTCTCTCTCATCAACGTTTCTAGCTCTCTATCTCTCTCCCTTCCTCCTCTCCGTGAAATATCAATAAAATATGATATATTAAAAAAAAAAAAACCTGAAACCAGTTTGCTCTGGATAGAGTGTCGGCCTGCGGATTCAAGGGTCCCAGGTTTGATAAAATATATTGTTAAAAAAATAAAATAAATAAAAAGATAAAAAAATATTTTTTAATATATTTTATTGATTTTTTACAGAGAGAAAGGGAGAGGGATAGAGGGCTAGAAACATTGATGAGGGAGAAACACACCACCTTCTAGGGATGTGCCCGCAACCAAGGTACATGCCCTTGACCGAAATCAAACCTGGGACCTTTCAGTTTGCAGACCAACACTCTATCCACTGAGCCAAACTGGTTTCGGCAATAAAAATATATTAAGTAAATAAATAAAATACCAGTGGGCAAAAGTAGATGTACGGTTATGGGTACACAAAACTCAGTTTACTTTTGTATTCTTATTTATGTATTATTGCATTATTTGTATTATAACTGTAAACCTACTTTTACTCTCCCCTATGTAAAAAATGCACATGTGAGCATATATGTACTTCATGTGACTAATGCTCAGAAGGCAGGTGTCCTTTTGTCTCCACAAAGCTGTGGAGTTGGGGCCTGGAGGCCTTGTCCACGGCCGTCTTTGGCAATTAGGGTGCGAGCAGGAGGGCCGGGCCAGACGGGCAGGGAGCAGGCCCCCAGCAGCCAGGAGGAAGCAGCGGCTGGGCCCGGCGTGCGGCCTGGGTCACCTCCCTACTTGGGCTTCAGCAAAGGCCTCATACTTGCCCACAGGCCTCTGGCCCCCAACTACTCTGCACGGTTTACAGAAAGGACCCGGACGTGGGCAGGGAGGGAGAGGAAAGGGACAAAAATGGGAAGCCAGGCGTCCAGCAGCCCGGCTCCTAAAGCTCACACATTTGGGCCTCAGTTCCATCTGACAAACGGGAACAAAATCAGCTCTGACCTTGTCCCAGGGCTGCTGTGAAGGTCACACGAGGCCACGAGAGGAGGGACCTGCTCCCTGGCTCTCACTCATCCCTGTGCCGCTCCCCCGGGCCTGGCCCCCGGGGCCACGTGAAGCAGCCACGGCAAGAGCGCTGGTGCCAGCCGGACGCGTCGCCAGGATGGCCTTGCAAAGCCAGTGGAGAGAAGGCTCCCCGACCCGCCTCCCGAACACTGTGCCCCGCACACGACTGCCCCAAGGCCAGTCTGCCCAGCCAGTCCTGCTGAAAGCAGCTCCCAAGCCAGGCCCGTCCCTCCGTCCACCCGTCCCTCCGCCCATGTGCTCGGCCCCTGCTTTCTGGACTCACTGCCCCTCAGTTCTGCCCACTCAATACCTTCCAGCCTTAAACTCCAGCCAGCGTCCACCTCTTCCAGGAAGCCCTCTGCGTGCCCCAGCGAGGGCCATTGCTGCTTCTGCTTACCCAGCATTCGAGCTCCGATCTTAACCCAGTGAGTGTCTTCATGTCTGTCCGCTGCACCAGCAGTTCTCGGGGGCCCCTCACACTTCTGAAATGACTGAGAACCCAGCCCAGCCACGTGGCTCCATGGCTGAGCATCACCCTGTGAACCAGGAGGTTGCAATTTGACTCCCAATCAGGTACATGCCTGGCTTTCGGGCTCAATCCCCAGTGGGGGGGCGTGCAAGAGGCAGCTGACCAATGATTCTCTCTCATCATGGATGTTTCTTATTTCTCTCCCTCTCCCTTCCTCTCTGAAATCAATAAAAATATATATTTTAAAATATATTTTATTGATTTTTTTACAGAGTGGAAGGGAGAGGGATAGAGAGTTAGAAACATCAATGAGAGAGAAACATCCATCAGCTGCCTCCTGCACACCCCCTACTGGAGATGTGCCCGCAACCAAGGTACATGCCCTTGACCGGAATCAAACCCAGGACCCTTCAGTCCACAGGCCGATGCTCTATCCACTGAGCCAAACCAGTCAAGGCAATAAAAATCTATTTTAAAAAATAAAAAATAATGACAGTAAATCCTTTCTATAGTAAGATAAATAACATTGTCTATTTTTTCAAAAACTGCATTTTACAGATCAAAAGGAAATTAATGCTGTGGGCCGGTTTGGCTCAGTGGATAGAGCATCGGCCCGAAGACTCGCAGGGTCGGTCCCGCATTTGATTCCGGTCAAGGGCACGCACCTTGGTTGTAGGTTCCCCCGGCCCTGGTCAGGGCACATGCGGGAGGCAACCAATTGGTGTCTCTCTCATATCAGTGTTTCTCTCTGCCTCTCCCACTCCCTTCCACTCTCCTTAGAAACAATGGAAAGATATCCTCAGGTGAGGATTAACCAAAGGAAAGAAGGAAGGAAGGAAGGAGGGAGGGAAGGAGGGAGGGAGGGAGGGAGGGAGGGAGGGAGGGAGGGAGGGAGGGAGGGAAGGAGGGAGGGAGGGAGGGAGGGAGGGAGGGAGGGAGGGAGGGAGGGAGGGAAGGAGGAAGGAAGGAAGGAAGGAAGGAAGGAAGGAAGGAAGGAAGGAAGGAAGGAAGGAGTGAAGGAGGGAAGGAAGGAAGGAAGGAAGGAAGGAAGGAAGGAAGGAAGGAAGGAAGGAAGGAAGGAAGGAAGAGGAAGGAAGGAAGGAAGGAAGGAAGGAAGGAAGGAAGGAAGGAAGGAAGGAAGGAAGGGAGGGAGGGAGGGAGGGAGGGAGGGAGGGAGGGAAGGAAGGAAGGAAGGAAAGAAGGAAGGAAGGGGGAAGGAAGGAAGGAAGATAGAACGGAGGAAGGGAGCAAGGAGGGAGGGAGGGAGGGAAGAAACGAGCGAGCAGGGCAGCAGTTTTACACATTTGCAGGTCTTGTGAGCGCCCACCTCGCCAGCCCACTGGGAGTTCGCTGCACGCAGGTCCCGCGAACACACACCACACAGCCTGGGGACTGAATGTGGAGATGGCGTCAGTGTTGCTGCGGAGAGACCTTTGCCTGGCACAGCCTGGGCAGCCCCCCGTGCGGCTGGCCCTCCACAGCTGCTAAGGCCCACGCGGTGCAGGGAGAGCCGGGGCACCCCCAGCGGAGGGCGGCCGCAGGGTCTCTCCTCCCCGAGCCTGCCTCCAGGGTGGTGAGAGGAGGCAGAAGACCAGCACTTTCTTTCTTTGTTCATTCTCACCGAGGGTATTTCCGTTGATTTTAGAGAGGGGGGGTGGGGAGAGGGAGAGACAGAGAGAAACATTGATGTGAGAGAGACACATCGATCAGTTGCCCCCTGCACAAGCCCTGACCAGGGCCGGGGCCGGGGCCGGGGAGGAGCCTGCAAACCAGGTACGTGTCCTTGACCGGAATCGAACATGGGACCCTTTGGTCCACAGGCCGATGCTCTGTCCACTGAGCCACAGCAGCCAGGGCCAGACCAACACTTTGATTCACTGGCCCCATATTCTGCTCTGGTCTCTGTCGCTCCCCAGGTGTGAGCGTGGGGCCACCTCACCCCTCCGAGCCCTGGCGCCACCTTTTGGAAGGTAGTTGTGCCACCTCATGGAGGGACAGACAAACTGCTGCCAGAGCTTGGGGGCCTGGCACCGGGGCTCCGGGGCTGTCGCTGCCCCTCGCCTCCCACCCCTCAGGCAGCCGCCCACAGACCAGGCAGCCACCCCTGTGTCCCGGGGGAGGGCGCCGGGCAGGCAGGCTTCCCAGGGAGCGCCCGGTGCGGAGGGAGCGTGGAGGCTCTGGTTGTGGATGTAGCTGGGACGCCCAGCCCTTTGGAGAGGTGCCCTGCCCTCCTGCCCTCCTGCCCACCTGCCCTCCTGCCCACCTGCCCTCCTGCCCAGGCGGTACGTCTCCGCGCCCCCCTCTTAGGCAGAGGGCCAGCGGGGGTCCGCCCCTCACTGCTCCGCCCTGAGCAGCGGGTCTGCCCGCAGGGCTCTCATCCTGTCCTGGGCCCCGGGGGGAGCTGGGCCTGGACTCAGCCACCTGGCCGCCTTCCCTTCTAGCACCCCTCAGGCGCACCCACACTCCCTGCTCGCGCTCTCTCCCTCTCTCTCTCTCTCACACACACACACACACACACGCACACACACATATATACGTGCACACACATATGCACACGCACACACATGCACACACATATACACACACGCACACACATGCACACACACACATATACACACACGCACACACATATACACACACCCGCATGCACAGCACCTAGTTTCTCCTGTGGGATGTGCGCAGCACGAGTGCCTTCCAGGGCAGCCCTGGGCCAGGGCGGCCCGCAGGCCTCAGCTGAGTTGGATTAGGGGCCGGTCCCCCCTTTGCAAATCCCTCCTGGCGGCTGCCCCCTCCCTCCCGGCACAGCCCCAGCGCCAGCCGGCCTGCAAGTGCGGCCGGGAGCCGGCGGCCGGGTCAGGAGCGGCCGGCGCGGCTTCGGCAAGAGCATGAGGGACGGCGCGGACACCGTCCTGTGCGTGGAGTCCGCCGAGCCGAGCCAGGTGAGGCCACCGAGAGCCTCTCACACCCAGCTGCCCCAACCCCGCAGTGCCCTGCCCTCAGCCCTCCGCCTCTCTCACAGACCGAATTCTGCAACCCCGCCTTCGAGCCCGAGTGGGGGCCGCCTCGCCCGCCACCCGCCTCCTGGGGGGATGCCCGTCGTCGTGCCCGCGCTGCCTGGCACGGTAGCCTCTCGGGGTGACGCGGGGGAGGACGAGAGGCCGGGCCGAGGGGCACGGGAGGGTGCCGAGGAGAGGGGCTCAGTCCGACCCCATCCGCCCGCAGGCTGGCGTCCCGGAGGGCTGCCACCCGACTGGCACTTCGCAGGGCTGTGCGCCCTGCTGCTGGCCAGCCTGCTGCTGGGGCTGCTGGGGCTGGTGGCCGTCCTGCTGGCCCGTGAGTGCCCGGCCCTGCGGGAGAGGGCTTTGGACTCCTGAGCTGTGCCACGCGCCCCCCAGGGGTCAGCCCCTCTGAGCCCTCCCCTCCCCCTTCCTGCTTCCAGAGCTGCAGGCTGCACCCCCAGCCGGAGCTTCTCCTCCGCTGCCCGCCAGGGGCCTCGTCACCTCTGGCACCCCTTCCGCCACCGCCTCCACGGGGACCCCTAAGGGGCAGCGAGAGGCGGGCCTGAGCCTTGCACCCCAGACCTGTGAGTGTCACAGGCTGACCTTGGAGGAGGGGCATGGGGGGCGGGGGGGCTGGAAGAGGCACTGGGGCTGGGGAAGGGTCTCTCCCCCATTGACCTCTGAACTCTAACCGCTGTCTCTGCAGCCTGTGGGGGCCTCCTCCTTGGACCACAGGGCGTCTTCAGCAGCCCCAACTACCCAGACCCCTATCCGCCCGACACCCACTGTGTGTGGCACATCCAGGTGCCCGCAGACCGGGCCATACAGCTCCGGATCGAAGCTCTGGGCACGGAGAGCACAGCCTCTTGCCTCTTCGATCGCTTGGAAATCTCCCCGGAGCCGGAAGGGCCCCTCCTGAGGTGGCCCCCAGCCCTGAGCCCCACCAGCCCTGAGCCCCTGTCTGGAGGCAGCGCCAGGGAGTGTCAGGGGGAAAGGCCTGATCGGGAGGAAACAGTCTCCACAGCTGAGCACAGCTCTGCTGCCCTCTTGCTCTAAGCCCTTGGGAAGGTCACTTCCCTTCTGCCAGTTTCCAAATCTGTAAACTGGAGCCCCGCCTTCCTTTCTTATCAAGAAATGTCGCCAGGCCCAGACGGTGTGGCTCCGTGGATAGAGCGTCAACCTTTAGACTGAAGGGTCTCGAGTTTGATTCCCATCAAGAACAGATGCCTGGGTTGTGGGTTCGAGCCCCAGTCGGGGGGGGGGGGGTGCAGGAGGCAGTGATCAATGATTCTCTCTCATCATCTATGTCTCTCTCCCTTCCTCTCTCAGATCAATAAAAATACATCTTTTAAATATATATTTGATTCATTTTTTACAGAGAGGAAGAGAGAGGGATAGAGAGTTAGAAACATTCATGACAGAGAATAATTGATCAGCTGCCTCCTGCACACCCCAATCGAACCCGGGACCTTTCAGTCCGCAGGCCACTGAGCAAACCGGTTTCGGCTAAAAATGCATTTTTAAAAAGAAAGAAGTGTGCAGAGCTGGGTGCCCAGCGGGAGGGAGCTACATGGGCACAGCCTGGGGGCAGGCTGCCCCTGAGCCCTCGCCCCTCCCCGGCTCCCCGCAGGCTGTGCGGCAGGGACCCGCCCCCCACACTCAACACCAACGCCAGCCGCCTCCGCGTGGCCTTCGTCTCGGACAGCAGCGTGGAAGGGCGAGGCTTCCAGGCCTGGTTCCAGGCCGTGGCCCCGGGGCGCGGTGAGGGCCGGCCCAGCTGCCGCAGGTCCCTTCCTCCCCGACACTCCCAGCACGGCAGGCAGGGAGGCTCTGGCGCTTCTGAATCCAGCCACTCCGCACCCCAGGGGGCTGTGCCCAGGACGAGTTCCCCTGCGACCAGCTCACCTGCCTGCCCCCCGGCTGGGTGTGTGACGGGCTCACCCACTGCGATGACGGCAGGGACGAGGGCAACTGCAGCGCCCCCTCAGGTATCGCCCGGCCTCAGGGGTCTTCAGGTCTGATCCGGTGCAGGCTGGGCTCCCGGCTCTGGCCCCGCCTAACCGCCTGGCCCTTGTTCCCCGTGGGCATGGCCACAGCCAGTCTGCGGACAGAGGCCAGGTGCTGGCCAACGCAGGCCCTCCTCCTCTCTACAGGATGTGGCGGGAACCTGACGGGGCTCCAGGGAAGTTTCTCTGCTCCCAGCTTCCTGCAGGGGTACCCTCAGCGACTGGTAAGCTGGCATCCATGGAGAGGGCAGGGTGGCATCTGGCCTGTGTGACTGAGAACAGCACAGCAGACACGGCTTGGGAAGGTCAGAGGTCAAGCAGACAGGAAGGGAGTATTATTTTTATTTTTTAAAAATGTATTTTTATTAATCTCAGAGAGGAAGGGAGAGGGAGAGAGAGAAGCATCCATGATGAGAGAGAATCATGGATCGGCTGCCTCCTGCCCGTCCCACACTGGGGATCAATCTTGCAACCCAGGCCTGTGCCCTGACCAGAAATCATAGATTGATGGTCATAGATTGATGGTCAACCATTGAGCCACACAGCTGGACAGGAAGGGAGTATTAAGTGCCTACTGTGTACCGAGTTACTCCATCCTCGGTCCCTGAGAGCAGACAAGTAGGAAGGCCCTTCCTATCTGGAGAAGCGCCTCTGAGGAGCCGTGTGGGCGGTGCCCACCCTCCCAGGCTAGCCTGGGTGGTCAATAGGGACAGAAGGAACCTGGAATGATGCCAGCTGTGCCCCCAGCTTTGCACCTGGCACATCTCCGTCCCCGCCGGACATGGCGTAGAACTGCAGTTCCTCACCTTCAGCCTGGACGCCCAGGGGGAGTGTCAGTCCGACCACGTGGCGGTGTACGAGGCCGGCAGCTCGGGGGCCCTGGGCCTCCTGGGCAGGTATCCGAGCGAGCGCAGGGAGGAGTCCCCGGAGGCCCTGCCTTCCTCCGCAGTAACCATGCCCGCTGCCACCGATTCGCCAACCTTTCCCTCGCTGCCGGTCCTTCGGCCGCCCCCGCAGGTGTCTGCACTGCCCCCACCCCGCCTCCAGGAGGCCGCCCAGCCCCCAGCTGCCCAGCCGCCCAGCTGCGCCCACGGACTTCCCCATCCCAGCCTGGAGCTCCCCTTTGTTAGCACTTTGTCCCCTGCACACGTGCCTCCCCCTCAGACCCTAAGTCCCATGACCCAGGTGGGTCTCCCACCCGCTCCAGCCTCACCCAGGCACCGAGCTCCGTGGCCGTGGCCGGGGGCCTCAGGCCGCACCCAGGGCCGCTCTTGCCGCAGGTTCTGTGGGGCACAGCCGCCGCCCCGCCTCCTCTCCTCGCGCCCCCGGCTGGCCGTGCTCCTCAGGGCAGGCCGTGGCTCGGGGGGCTTCTCCGCCGCCTACCGGGCCCTGGACGCCTCAGAAAGTAGGTGCCTGGGCAGGTGGGTGTGGGCATGGGGTGCCTCTGGGAGAGGAGGGCAGAGGGCAGGGCTGAGGTCCGGTGGGGCACCGCAGAGCCAGTGGGGCAGATGTCCCGGGCACTGCCCCCCCTGCCCCTGCAGAGCCCTGTGGGCCCATGGGGCCCTCCTGCCAGGACCCGGGGTGTCGGCGCTGGATGTGTGATCTGCGGCCAGACTGTGCAGAGGGCAGCCCCGCCCAGTGCGGCCCCGTGTCCCCCCCTCCAGGTGAGCGGCCTGGGCCCCCGTGTCCCCCCCATGTCCCCCTCCAGGTGAGCATCCTGGGCCCCCATGTTCCCCTCCAGGTGAGCTGCCTGGGTCCCCCCGTGTCCCCCCCATGTCCCCCCTCCAGGTGAGCGGCCTGGGTCCCCCCGTGTCCCCCCCCCCAGGTCCCCCTCCAGGTGAGCAGCCTGGGCCCCCATGTTCCCCCTCCAGGTGAGATGCCTGGGTCCCCCCGTGTCCCCCCAAGACCCCCTCCAGGTGAGCGGCCTGGGTCCCCCCGTGTCCCCCCAAGACCCCCTCCAGGTGAGCGGCCTGGGTCCGGCCTCGGACAGGGCCTGGCAGGCAGCAGGTGCTCAGAGAGGCGTGAAGTCCTCTCCCTCCTCTGTCCCTGTGCCGCTCACCACACCCCCACCCTGCCCGCCCGCAGTGCCGGCCTGTGAGCCCGTCCGCGTGGCCATGTGCCTGGGGCTCAGCTACAACGCCACGGCCTTCCCGAACATCTGGACAGGCGTAGCCGCCCAGGAGGAGGCGGTGGAGGTGCTCAGACAGCACGAGGTGCGGGGAGGGGAGGAGGGACGGGGTGGGACGGACGCCGGGTGCGGGCTGAGGCTGACCTCCCCCTGCAGAGCCTGGCCCGCCTTCCCTGCTACCCCAGCCTCCGGAGGCTCCTCTGCGGGCTGCTGGTGCCCCGCTGCACCCCGCTCGGCAGCGTGCTCCCGCCGTGCCGCTCTGTCTGCCAGGAGGCGGAGCACCGATGCCAGTCTGGCCTGGCACTGCTGGGTACCCCCTGGCCCTTCAACTGCAACCGGCTGCCCGAGGCCGCGGGCATGGAAGCATGTGCCCAGCCCTGACGCCCTCGCCCGCCCGCCGCCTACGGGGCAGCCGGGCCTTCTGGGCCTGGAGGAGGAGGGACCCTCCGCAGGCTCCTGCTGTCCCTGCACCTCCAGCTGTGCCCTTGGCAACCCAGCCGCTTCCCACAAGCCTGACCCCATTCCTGTCTCCTGCCGCCCCCTCCATCTGCTTCTCCAGGTGCCTCGGTCACCCACCTTTTAAAATGTATTTTTATTGCCTTCAGAGAGGACGGGGGAGGGAGATGGAAACATCCATGATGGGAGAGAATCATGGATCGGCTGCCTCCTGCACGCCCCTCAGTCCGCAGGCCGCGCTCTACCCACTGAGCCGGCCGGCCCGGGCTCGGCCCCAGCCTCGGACCCTTTTGTTTGTTCCACGAGTGCCCGGCTGTACGGGCCTGTCCCGGGCGGGACCCAGCCGTCTGCCGTCTGCCTCCGGCCCTCTAGGCCTCTTCTCCGCTCCCCCCTTCCCCTCCCTTCCCCTCCCCTCCCTCCCCTCCCCTCCCCTCCCCTCTCTCCCCTCCCTTCCCCTCCCTTCCCCTCCCCTCTCTTCTCTCCCCTCCCCTCCCTTCTCTCCCTCCCCTCCCCTTCCCTCCCCTCCCCTCCCTTCTCTCCCTCCCCTCCCCTCCCCTCCCTTCTCTCCCCTCCCCTCCCCTCCCTTCTCTCCCTCCCCCTCCCCTCCCCTCCCTCCCCTCCCCTCCCCTCTCTCCCCTCCTTTCCCTTCCCCTCCCTTCTCTCCCCTCCCTTCCCCTCCCTTCCCTTCTCTCCCTCCCCTCCCCTCCCTCCCCTCCCCTCCCCTCTCTCCCCTCCCTTCCCTTCCCCTCCCTTCTCTCCCTCCCCTCCCCTTCCCCTCCCTTCCCTCCCCTCCCCTCCCCTCCCTTTTCTCCCTCCCCTCCCCTTCCCTCCCTTCCTCTCCCCTCCCTCCCCTCCCCTCCCCTCCCTTCTCTCCCTCCCCTCCCCTCCCCTCTCTCCCCTCCCTTCCCTTCCCCTCCCTTCTCTCCCTCCCCTCCCCTTCCCCTCCCCTCCCCTCCCTCCCCTCCCCTCCCTTTTCTCCCTCCCCTCCCCTTCCCTCCCTTCCTCTCCCCTCCCTCCCCTCCCCTCCCCTCCCCTCCCTTCCCCTCCCCTCCCCTCTCTTCTCTCCCCTCCCCTCCCTTCTCTCCCTCCCCCTCCCCTCCCCTCCCTCCCCTCCCCTCCCCTCTCTCCCCTCCTTTCCCTTCCCCTCCCTTCTCTCCCTCCCCTCCCCTCCCTCCTCTCCCCTCCCCTCTCTCCCCTCCCTTCCCTTCCCCTCCCTTCTCTCCCTCCCCTCCCCTTCCCCTCCCCTCTCTCCCTCCCCTCCCCTTCCCCTCCCCTCCCTTCCCTCCCCTCCCTCCCCTCCCCTCCCCTCCCTTTTTTCCCTCCCCTCCCCTTCCCTCCCTTCCTCTCCCCTCCCTCCCCTCCCCTCCCCTCCCTTCTCTCCCCTCCACTCCCCTCCCTTCTCTCCCTTCCCTCCCCTCCCCTCCCCTCCCTTCTCTCCCTTCCCTCCCCTCCCCTCCCTTCCCCTCCCCTCCCGTCCCCTCCCCCGTCCCCTCCCCTCCCCCCCTCCTCTCCCCCCGCGCCGGCCCCGGAGCTCCTCCCGCGGGCGGCTTCCCCCCCGGGCGGCGGGCAGGGCAGGGCCGGGCTCCCCTCCGCTCCGCGCTGTGCTCCCGGGCGGGGGCGCCCTTTTCTTGGTCCCCGGCCTCCGGCTCCGGGCTGGGGGCCGAGGCGGGGCCAGGCCGGCCGGAGGCTGGGCACCCCGCCCGCCCGCAGCGGGAGGACGGCGCCGGCCGCGGGCGCCATGAGGCTGCTGCTCGCCCTGCTGCTGCTGCGCCTGGCGGCCGGCGCGGCCCCGCCCGACGACAACAAGATCCCCAGCCTGTGCCCCGGCCTCCCCGGCGCGCCCGGCCACCACGGCGCCCAGGGCCTGCCCGGCCGCGACGGCAGGGACGGCAGGGACGGCGCGCGCGGGGCGCCCGGAGAGAAGGGCGAGGGCGGGCGGCCGGGTAAGGCGGGGCCGGGGCCGCGGGCGGGCGGGCGGCCGGGGAGGGAGGAGGGGGCCGGCCGCGGCGCTCCGGGGCCAGCGGGTCAGACCCGCTCCGGGACGCGGGCCGGCCGGGCGGGCGGGCGGGGCGGGCGGCCGCGGAGCTCGGGGGGCGCGCGGTCCCAGGGCCGCCCTCCGAGCCCGCGAACCCTCCTTCCCGCAGGACCGCCGGGGCCCCGCGGGGAGCCCGGGCCGCGCGGAGAGGCGGGCGCGGCGGGGCCGGCGGGGGCGTGCGCGCTGCCCCCGCGCTCCGCCTTCAGCGCCAGGCGCGCCGAGGGCCGGGCGCCGCCGCCGCCGGACGCGCCGCTGCCCTTCGAGCGGGTGCTGCTGAACGAGCAGGGCCACTACGACGCGGCCTCGGGCAAGTTCACGTGCCGCGTGCCCGGCGTCTACTACTTCGCGGTGCACGCCACCGTCTACCGCGCCAGCCTGCACTTCGACCTGGTCAAGAACGGCGAGGCCGTGGCCTCCTTCTTCCAGTTCTTCGGGGGGTGGCCCAAGCCCGCCTCGCTGTCGGGCGGCGCCATGCTGAGGCTGGAGCCCGAGGACCAGGTGTGGGTGCAGGTCGGCGTGGGCGATTACGTGGGCATCTACGCCAGCGTCAAGACGGACAGCACCTTCTCGGGGTTCCTGGTGTACTCCGACTGGCACGGCTCCCCCGTCTTCGCCTGAGGCCCCGCAGCGCGGGGGCGCGCCTGTCCCGGGAGGCTGTGAGGGGGCGCCCTGCCGGCTGCTAGGGCCTCCGGGAGCCCAGCCCGTGCTGGCAGGTGGGGTTCTCTGGCCCAGACCCCCGCCCCCTCGGGTGCTCTCTCCCTAGACTCTGCTTCTCCCCCTCTCGCCTTGCCCCTCCGGCTCCCGGGCCCTTTCGGCGGAGGCCGTTCAATAAATCTAAAGCCCTGCGCCTGGCTGGGTTTCTGTGGTTGGAGGTGGAGATGCTCTGGGCCTGAGGGCGGGGAAAGCGAGGAGATGGAGCGGGAGGGAGGGAGGGAGGGCCCTCGGCCGGACGCCCTGCGGGCAGGAGAGACCAGCGCAGGTCCGAGGGAGGGTCCACGGGCCTCCAGCTGAGGGGGGTGAGCTCTGGCCACGTGTCCGATTTCAGAGGTTCCTGTGCCCTGGGTGGGCCTGCTTGTACACACACCCCTGGTCTGGCCACCGGAAACGGAGCCGGGCTTCTTCCTTGCCATTTTCCTGCTGCTGCTTGGTCCCTAGATGGCGGGAGGAAGGCTGCTCCTCCCTCACCCCCACTGCCAGGGAGGGAAGTGTCCCTGGGGTCTAGAGAGTAGTTTCTGAGGTGGCCATAAGAGGGCGCGCCCGCTCTAGAATGCAGCAGCAATGACCCTGGCAGCTTGCTTTTTTTTTTTTTTTTTTTTTTTTTTTTGATTTTTTTTTTTTTTTTTTTTTTTGAGAGAGAATCATCACTGATGAGAATCACTGATTGGCTGCCTCTTGCACGCCCCCCACTGGGGACGGAGCCTGTAGCCCGGATATGTGCCCTGACCAGAATCTAACCTGGGACCCTTGAGTCCGCAGGCCGATCGATGCTTTATCCACTGAGCCAAACCGGCCAAGGCAGCTTGGGCTCTTGACTCCTGGGTTGGTTGGGGGGGCGGTATGGAGGTTGGCCAATGGAATGCCTGTTGGGGGTGGAGGGGAGAGTCTTCTGCTCCCGGCTCAGGAAGTTTATCTTCTCTCCCAAAACGTTTATCCTCACTCTAAACAGTGTTCGGAGCCAAGGCTCTCCTCGCTCAGCTCTCCAGGGTTGGGAGGTAGAAACAGGCCTCCCAACTCCAAGGTGATGTCCACCAACTCCCCACCCCATGGGCTGGGTGGGCGGTGCCAGTCCGAGTCCGCCAAAGCGCCCCTCTTCTGACCTTCAGAAGCAGCCCTAGCCCCACACCCCAACCCAAGGCTGGCAAACCAGGGCTTGCAAGGCCCACATCAGCTCAGCCTCTCGACCGACAAAGCGAGGGGCTCTCGCTTCCCTCCCCCACCTCCAGAAGGCTGTCCTGGCATTCTGCTTCTACATTTAAATACAGCTATGGGGGGGCCCCTCTCTCGCTGACCATGAGGGCCTCCAGAGAACTGAGCGGCAGCCCCTGCTCTTCACCAGGCCCATCAGGGTCTCAGCCCAGAAACAGGCCAAGCGCCTGCTCCTCCAGGGACCAGAGGAGACGACACCAGCCAGCAGGAACCCCAGGGTCCCTCCTGGGGAGAGTGGCACCAGAGCAGAGAGGACAGGAAGACATGCAAAGGCCGCTCGTGTGAGGACACAGATTGAGTTGGTAAAAGCCAACCCAGCCGCTCTGAGGGCTTCCCAAGGCCCAGGGCTCCCGTCCCCTCCCCTCCCCTCACCAGTCCCCCCAGATGACTCTGGTGACTAGCAGGACGGGAGGACCTGCTGTAGTGTCAGTCTCGCTGACCAGGTGCTCACCTCGCAAGGATGCCACAGAGGCTGTCAGGGTTGTCAACAAAACTTTATTCACTGGAAACTGAGCCAGAAGACCCCTCAGGGAACTGTAGCCCCTGGCCCTGGCCCTACTGTGTGGGCCGCAGTGGAATGTGCAGTCTGCCCTCCCCAGTGCTGGGGAGGCAAACAGGAGGGGAATGCCATTTTCCTGTGACGTGGGAATGAAAGGACAGGAATAGAAATTTGGTTCTCTCTCCTGAGGCTTCAGTGGAGCTGGGATGCGAGTAATCATGGTCCCAAAGCCAGATACAGCTACACACACACACACACACACACACACACACACACACAGATAAACTTCGACCCCAGCTGCTGGATGAGGTTGGGAAGGAGCTTCAGAAGATTATGGCAGGCAAAAGCTCTAAGGGCATCTGCGAGACACCACCCCCAAAACCTGCCCGAAACAGGAGTTCTGGCTAAAAGCAAAGGTTCAAGATCATCCCAAGGCCCTTGAGTTGCCAAAATACACAAATCACACTGATGCATTGTGGCCACAGAAGCTAGGAAGAGGACCTGCAAACCCCCAACAACAACAAACAGAAGCAGAGGAGGGGCCCGAGGCTGGCATTGGGTGGGCCTTGGCAAGCTGGGAAGGAGGCCACAGCAGCCTCGGGGCGTGGCACAGTGGCGCGCACCCTCGGCATCGCAGGGAGCAGCCGCTATCCCGCCCGCCCAGGCACTGTCTTCCAGGCTGTCCATCTCAATGTCCCGGACGGATGGCGTGGAGGCTTGTCATGACAGCCAGGGCCGGCGGCAGCTGTGAATGCTGTCCCGGCCGGGTGGCTGCGGTGCGCGCAGTGGAGGGGCAGGGAGGGGTCCTCAGAGGTAGACGTTGAGGGTCTGCAGAATGCCGCGGCGGCAGAGCGGGCAGTTGCGGTGGTAGACGGGGTGGCGCATCAGGATCTCGGTGCAGGCCTGGCAGAGGCACAGGTGCCGACAGGGCAGCAGCAGCACGGTCTTGCTCTGGTCCTGGCAGATGACGCACTTCTTCCGCTCCTCTTGCTCCTTCAGCAGCTTCCACGGGTCCTGCCCGGCTCCCGGCTCCTCGCTGAGCCGCTCCCTGCCCCGGGCAGCGGCCACTCTGGCCATTCTACCTTCTTCCTCTCCTGCCTCCGGTCTGGGCCCTGCTTCTGGAAGAGTGGCCTGTTGCGAGGTCCTGGCTGCAGGCACCCTTCTAGGGCCACCCTGGGGAGCCCCAGGTGCCCCTCCCCAATTCGGCCAGCTTGCCAGCTGCAGGCTGCGGCTCCAGACTCGGTGCCAAGCCTCCAAGCCCAGTGCGAGGCGAGACAGCCGCGTGACGTCCTCTCGAAGCCTGTGGTAGGACGGGCGGGCGTGGAGCTGACCGAGGGCCTGGGTGGCCAGCCTCACGGTGAGGTCCGGGTGCAGCACGGTCACCGTCACCGCCAGCACGCAAGCCAGCAGCACCAGGCCAGTGAGATTGACAAGCACAAAACTGGCCACGAGGCGGGCAGCCGAGGCCAGGAGCTCCATTGCTAGCTGGCATGGTGTCCAGAGGAGGATGGCCATGGCCACAGCGCTGCTGGAAATGTGCGCGAGGAAGGCGGCCATGACGTCCGTCATCCTCCACAGCGGCCCCATCACGGCGTCCCACAGGGCCAGCAACAGGGAGAAGAGGTTCTGAGTGCCAATGAGGCAGATGTTGACCAGGCTGTTGATCACGTAGGCCACCAGGCTCATGGCGATGGCGCAGACGTCGCAGGCCTGGCGCAGCAGTGTGTGGCCGCTGGAGACCACATGGAGGAGGCCCCGGTGCAGGAAGTCCCGGCTCCTCCAGGCCCCGTGCGAGGCCAGGTGCCCCAGCAGCTTCAGGCTCTCCAGGCTGGAGCAGCAGCCGTGCAGCAGGGTCCACAGCGCCTGGAAGCCCCCGAAGGTGAGCCGCATCAGGGCTTCCATCAAGGCCAGCAGCGACAGCAGGACGCCGCGGCCCAGGTGCACGAGGCTGGTGAGCACGGTGTGCGGCAGGTTGTAGACGAAGGCCAGGAGCCAGGCCACGGAGGCCAAGAGGGAGGACACCAGCAGGAAGTTCAGATCCAGCACCAAGGTCAGCACGTCCAGCACCAGGCCCACCCCGTTCACCACCAGGTACACAGCCTCCATGGCGGGCAGGGCGGGTGGGGCGGAAGGAGGCTTACTCTGAGGGAGGACGAAGTCTCCCGCGAGGAGGAAGCGCGCTGGGGTGCGGGTCTCAGTGGGGGGCCCGGGGCCCGGGAGGCCCGGCCCGGAAGGCGGGCCGTTTGGGAGGGAAAGGGCCGGCCATGTCCCGGCGGAGGTGAGCCGGCGGGAGGAGAGGCGGCTGTGCGACCCGCGGCCCGGCGGGCGGAGCGGAGGCCGAGAGCGGTTGGGACGCCGGCGGGGCCGGGAGGGGCGGCGCGGGCCGGGCGTGGCTCGCGCCCCGCCGCGCAGGGCCCTGTCCCGCCCGGCCCCTCTCCCGGGTTCGCGGCGCTCTGCGCCCCGGGCGGGGAAGGGGGCCTCAACCGAGCCCCGGGGCGGCCTGCACCCCGCCGCGCGCCGCCATCTTGTGCGCGGAGGCGGGACCGGGGCGTGACGGGCGGGAGGGCGGCGAGCTCCAGGGCCAGCAGCGGGGACGCGGGCGCTCATTGGCTCGTTTGAACGGCGGGACAGCGAGTCTCCGCCCCCCGCGGCGGTGCCGGGCGCTGAGTGGCGGAGGCGGCTGTCTTTCAGCCCCGCCCCCAGAAAGCCGGCCCCGCCCCCAGAAAGCCGGCCCCGCCCCCAGAAGGCCGGCCCGCAGGTCTCCCTCCGGCCGGGGTGTCCGCGCCTCCCCCCGGGCGTTCACTGGGGGCCCCGGTGGTGGTCGCTCCGGCGTGCACCGGGCCGGGGCCGGGGCACCTGCAGTCCACGTGGTGGCGGACCGGCCTTCTGGGCTGGAAGGCACTTTTTGGGTGAGGGTTGGTGTCACTGCCTCCGAGCAGGACTCCGGGACCGCACCGCCTCCCCGCCACTGTGCCTCACACTCCTCTGTTCATTCAACGATTCTCCTTTATTGAGCTCCTCCCTACAGCTGTGCTAGGGAGACAAAGCATGCTGAAGACCGGCACGTTCTCAATCAGGTCACAAGGGGAAACAGATTGTTATACGGGTTCCTAAGCGGCCATTTCCTCAAGCTCCGCGGCTTTTCCAGCATCCTCAGAGGTCTGAGAAAAAGGCCAACTGCAGACATAGCTCGCCTCCTGCGCAGGGCCCCTTAATGTGCCCTGGCCTTGGCTATCTAACGGGGAGCACAGCTTGGGAGCTCCAGGTTGTCCAGAAGCCGCGGCGCAGCCGGTGGTTGAGTGCTGGCCTATGAACCAGAAGGTCACAGTTGGATTCCGGTCACAGCACATGTCTGGGTTTCAGGCTGATCCCCAGTTGGGGGTGTGCAGGAGGCAGCCAATTAAGGAGTCTCCTTTTTTTTTTTTTCTCTTTTTTTTCTTTTCTTTATTGATATGGTGTCACATAATTGTCCTCATCCCCCCATTCCATCCCAAACCCCTCCCCACATATGCCCACCCCTTGTCGTCCATGGCCACTGGTTGGGCTTAATGCATGCACTCAAGTCCTCTGGTTGATCTTTCCCCTTTCCCCCCACCCTCCCCTACCTTCCCTCTGAGGTCTGACAGTCTGATAGCTGCTTCTCTGTCTTTGGGTCTTTTTTGTTCATCAGTCTATGTTGTTCATTATTTCCCCTAGATGTGTGAGATCATGTGATACAAGGAATTCCCTTATAAGGACCGAAACTGAGACAAGCCATAATGGCTATGCTGAGAGGCAGATGAATCAGACTGAAGTGAATTCCTTTCTGGGCCAACAGTTCTTTTGAGTCCCAATTTCAGTGTCAAACATGTCAGCCATGGTATTTCAGATCTGGTTGTCTTTATGTGTGTGTGTGTGTGTGTGTGTGTGTGTGTGTGTGTATATATATATATATATATATATATATATATATATATATATATATATATTGATTTTTTACAGAGGAAGGGAGAGGGATAGAGAGCTTGAAACACTGACCAGCTGCCTCCTGCACACCCCCAGTGCCTGCAACCAAAATACATGCCCTTCACCGGAATCGAACCTGGGACCCTTCAGGATTCTCTTATTTTTGATGTTTCTATCTCTCTCTCCTGCTCCCTTCCTCTCTGAAATCAATAAAAATATTTTTTAAAAAAAGGAGTTACCTTTTTCTTTAATATTCAAATAATATTTGAGCCGAGACTGGTTTGGCTTAATGGATAGAGCATTGGCCTGCAGACTGAAGGGTCCCGGGTTCGATTTCAGTCAAGGGCATGTACCTTGGTTGGGGGCACATCCCCAGTACGGGGTGTGCAAGAGGCAGCTGATTGATGATTCTTTTTCATCGATGTTTCTAACTCACTATCCCTCTCTCTTCCTCTCTGTAAAAAATCAATAAAATATATATTTTTTAAAATGTCAGAGACTTTACTGCCTCTGTTTGCTTCTAGTTTTATAGTTTTCAGTTTTTAATCCATTTAGAGTTTATTCTTGCATATGTTGTAAGAAGGTGGTATAGTTTCTTTTTAAAAAAAATTTTTGCACATACCTGTCCAATTTTCCCAGCGCTATTTATTGAAAAGACTGTCTTATCTCATTGCATATTCTTGTCTCCTTTGTCATGGATTAATTTACCATATGGGCATGGGTTTGCTTCTGGGCTCTCTATTCTGTTCCATCTATCTGTGTTTGTTTTTATGCCTGTGCCGTGCTGTTTTATTACTATGGCCTTGAAGTATAGTTTATTGTCAGGTAGTGTGATGCTGCCAAGTTTGTTATTATTTTTCAAGATTGCTGTTGCTATTTTGGGTCTTTTGTGTCCATAAAATTTATTTATCTATTTCTTTGAGAAATGCCATTGGTATTATAACAGGGATTGCATTGAATCTATAGATTGCTTTGGGTAGTATGAACATTTTATTTTATTTATTTTTATTTTTTATTTATTAATAAATCTTTATTGTTCATATTATTACAAACATTCCTCATTTTTCCCCCCTTCATTGCTCCCCTCCACCAGGTTCCCACCCCACCTTCTGCCCTTCCCTCACCCCCATTGTCCTCATCCATAGGTGCACAGTTTTTGTCCGGGCTCTTCCCACACTCCCCATTCCCCTTTTCCCCGAGAATCACCAGTCCACTCCCCTTCCATACCTCTGATTCTATTATATTCACCAGTTAATATTGTTCATCAGATTTTTTAGTTCCCTTGGCTTTTAGTTTCACTTGTTGATAGTTACGTGTTTGTTGATCATAATTTTTATCTTTATCTTCTTCCTCTTCCTAAAGAACCCCCTTCAGCAATTCATATAATTCTGGTTTGGCAGTGATGAACTCCTTTAGCTTTTTTTTTTTGTTAGAGAAGCACTTTATCTGGCCTTTGGTTCTGAGTGATAGCTTTGCTGGGTAGAGTATTTTTGGCTGTAGGTTCTTGCTATTCATCACCTTGAATATTTCTTGCCATTCCCATCTGGCCTGCATGGTTTTTGTTGAAAAATCAGCTGACAATTGTATGGGTGCTCCTTTATAGGTAACTACCTGCTTTTCTCTTGCTACTTTTAAGATTCTCTCTTTGTCTTTTGCTCTTGGAATTTTAATTATGATGTGTCTTGGTGTGGTCCTCTTTGGACTCCTTTTGTTTGGAGTTCTGTGCGCTTCCTGGACTTTTAAGTCTAATTCTTTCCCCAGGTGGGGGCAGTTTTCTGTCACTATTTCTTCCAGTATGTTTTTGGTATCTTGCTCTCTCTCATCTTCTGGGACCCCCATAATTCTGATGTTGGTTCATTTGAAATTGTCCCAGAGGTTTCTTACACTATCTTCAACTTTCTGGATTCTCTTATCTTCTTGCTTCTGTGGAGGAGTGTCCTCTGGCTCTTTGTGTTCCAAATCTTTGACTTGATTCTTGCGATCTTCCATTCTGTTTTTAGGACTCTGTATAATATTTTTTATTTCAGAGACTGTATTCTTTATTTCTTGTTGATCCCTTATTATTTCTTGTTTTTTTTTTCAAATTTAATAAATCTTTATTGTTCAGATTATTACAAATGTGTTCCTCTCCCCCCACCCCCAATTGTGCCCCTCCACCAGGTTCCCACCCCACCCTCTGTCCTTTCCCCATCGCCCATTGTCTTCACTCATAGGTGCACAGTTTATGTTCAGTCTCTTCCCTCATCCCCCTCTCCCCTTTTCCCCAAGAATCATCAGTCCACTCCCCTTCCATACCTCTGATTCTATTATATTCAATAGTTAATATTGTTCATCAGATTTTTTAATTCCCTTGGTTTTTAGTTTCATTTGTTGATAGTTACATATTTGTTGTTCATAATTTTTATCTTTATCTTCTTCCTCTTCCTAAAGAACCCCCTTCAGCAATTCATATAATTCTGGTTTGGCAGTGATGTACTCCTCTAGCTTTTTTTTATTAGTGAAGCTCTTTATCTGGCCTTCGATTCTGAGTGATAGCTTTGCTCAGTAGAGTATTTTTGGCTGTAGGTATTTGCTATTCATTATCTTGAATATTTCTTGCCATTCCCGACTGGCCTGCGCGGTTTCTGTTGAGAAATCAGCTGACAATTGTATGGGTGCGCCTTTATAGGTAACTACCTGCTTTTCTCTTGCTGCTTTTAAGATTCTCTCTTTGTCTTTTGCTCTTGGAATTTTAATTATGATGTGTCTTGATGTGGTCCTCTTTGGACTCCTTTTGTTTGGAGTTCTGTGCTCTTCCTGGACTTGTAAGTCTATTTCTTTCACCAGGTGGGGGAAGTTTTCTGTCACTATTTCTTCCAGTATTCTTTCAGCATTTTGCTCTCTCTCTTCTTCTGGGACCCCCATAATTCTGATGTTGGTTCGCTTGAAATTGTCCCAGAGGTTTCTTACACTATCTTCAAGTTTCTGGATTCTCTTTTCTTCTTGCTTCTGCAGAGGAGTATCTTCTGGCTCTTTGTGTTTTACATCTTTGTCTTGATTTTTGCGATCTTCCATTCTGTTTTTAGGACTCTGTATAATATTTTTTATTTCAGAAAATGTTTTCTTTATTTCTAAGTTGATCCATTATTATTTCTAGTTGATCCCTTTTCATATCCTCATAA